TAATGTGAGGAAGTAATGTGAAGGTGGACAATTTTGAGAGTGATCTTATTCACACAGCTGGCAAATACAGAATGGGTTTGAAGTTGGGCATGCCTTTGACCCGAATCCAGGCCAAACATTACACCCATTGGTACACAGTAATTTCTTACTATTATCCTTATAGGCATACAAATTAAACATAAGCAGTGAAAGCCTAATATTTGGGGAAGAGTATCAATATGCATAAATATTACTTCGTATAAAATGAAAAGTGAATAGGGGCATGTAAATTTGGATGGGGAATGCAAATTCTTACAAGTAAAGGGAATTATATGATTAACACAAAACTCATTAGTCTTAATTTCATTATTTAAGAGATTTTCATGAAATGTTTGTAATATGCAGAATTTTGGTTCTTTATTGGATGTGTTTTTGCAGGCTCGAGCATGTAGTTAGTCTGACAACCTTGCCGTGTGGATCCCTTCATGAGGCATCACTATCTCTTTCGTTGAGGTTTAGAGGTGTGTTTGATAAATCTTTAAGCTATTAACAAAGCAAATCATTTAGTGTATTGTTTTTAAATAAATTCTTCGTTTGTTTGGAAATGGAACGTATTCGACTCTCTTAGACATAACAATGAAAATATGGCACACTACTTTATGAATGCTTTTGTGAGATGATAAAACATGACCTTCTCATTGATTTTTGTTTTAAATTTTGCATGTATAGGTACTATAGGATAATGTTGTGGAAATCCACACATGGGCTTTTTAATTTGTGTTTTATATGGAAGAATTTAACCGGAGTGAAGGGGAAAACTAATGTGACTGTGAGGAGTGGATGAAAGAAATGTGAAGTTTTTTTCCCTTTAAATATACCTGAGCCATCTTTGATGCAAGTCAAAGTGCATGAGATACATGACTTAGAAACATGAGTGGCAAAAGCATGAGGTTAAATAAGATTTATATTTTAAATAATATTTTTGTTAGGAAACAGCCTTTATATTGGGAGTTGAAAATTATTGAAATAGTAAAAATTGCATGTTTGTTTACTCTTTATATAGCAGTCTTATTTTGAAATGTACTATATTTTATGGAGTTGTATTTTTATACCAATTTTTTTTGTATTGAATCTTAGTTTGTTGCACAATTCAAAAAAAGTGAAAATTTTAATTAGATAAAAACAAAGATAGGGAAAGAACTAAATATCATGCTTGAAATTAGTAGATCAGAATGAAGGTTTGTTTTAGTTCATAAGTTTTGCCTTGATATACGCCTTCTCTTTACCTTTAAATATACCTGAGCCATCTTTGATGCAAGTCAAAGTGCATGAGATACATGACTTAGAAACATGAGTGGCAAAAGCTTGAGGTTAAATAAGATTTATGTTTTGAATAATATTTTTATTAGGAAACAGCCTTTATATTGGGAGTTGAAAATTATTGAAATAGTAAAAATTGCATGTTTGTTTACTCTTTATATAGCAGTCTTATTTTGAAATGTACTATATTTTATGGAGTTGTATTTTTATACCAATTTTTTTTTTTGTATTGAATCTTAGTTTGCTGCACAATTCAAAAAAAGTGAAAATTTTGATTAGATAAAAACAAAGATAGGGAAAGAACTAAATATCATGCTTGAAATTAGTAGATCAGAATGAAGGTTTGTTTTAGTTCATAAGTTTTGCCTTGATATATGGCTTCTCTTTGAAACCTATGAAACTAAGGAGCCAAAATAAAATAGGCTTCCATTCATTCTATTCTGATTTCTAGCATGGTTTTTATTTATCGTTTTTTTATCTAATTGAGAACTCCAGTTTCTTTGAATACTGACACAAGCTGATCCTTTGTGAAATCATTGTTGTTTTATTTGGAACATTTGTTTTAATTGGAATGAAGAAGTTGTACATGTCTGTTTGTAGGTTTTGACTTTCCTCGAGACTTTTACTGTGTTACTAGGTTGTGGCACTAATATTATCATTTAGACTTGAATTTGAATATGATTCCTGCATAATTGTAGCCACCAATCTCCATTAATTTGGTTTGCTTAGGTTTTTATGCTCTTAAGAAGATAAAGAAGCTGCTGTGCAGTAGTAAATGAAGAAGAAACAGAAAAAGGAGAGGTCAACAGGAATTATGATTGTGCTTCTCTTCAATTTGACATGCATTGTTGCTTGAAAGCGTTGACCAATTTGACATGCATAGTTGCTCGAAAGCGTTGAAGGAGCAATCTGCACTAGAAAGACAAATAAGCAATTCGGTTTCTAGGCATCTCATGTAAGAGATTTAACTTCCTCCATATTAAGAAGAGTACTTCATGGCTCAAAAGACATTGCAAATGATGATTTTGTTTATTTGTATTTTTCACGTCCTAATAAGTATGTATTGATGTATTTTGGGGTTGATACTGTATTTTCTTTGAATTTAAAATGGTTTAAACTTTGCTTAAAAATGATTTTAAGTTTATTTTACGCTACCTTTTTTATCTTTTTTTATTACTCTCAATATCAAAAAAGTAAAACCCGCAACTTTTACATTCTTACGGAGTACATTAAAATCTGAGTAAATTCAAACTAAGAATTAAATAAGCGATATAGTGAGTGCTTCCCTATTACTCCTTCTGTCCCCTTAAGATGTTCTCATTTTGACTTTTGGTGGTTTTTAAGGAGAGTCGAAAAAAGGTGAAAGTTTACCATAATACTCTTAATGAAAATGGTGGAGTGTATTAAATGAGGTGGGTTAGGTGTAATAAATAAAGTAAGTGAGGGTAGTTGTGATATTTTAATTGTTAAAAAGTGAAATGAGAAGATCTATTATGGGCAAAGAAAAAGAGCTATTGGAAAGATCTATGAGGGACGGAGGGAGTACAACTTAGCATTTGCTTATACATTTTTTTAGCTAAATGATGAATAAATAGACCACTTTTTCTAATAATTGGACTTGGGTGAGCATCACATTAAAATCTTAGATAATGAGTTTTCTACCGCTTAAAGGAGAAGAACATATAAATGTGTTAGTGTTTCTTGACTTATTACTGATAAGTAATGTTTAAATTATAAGTTTCTTATAAGTTATATATTTTTCGTAGAGATAAAATGACTTAAATGTTAGATAATCATTTGGAAATATTCAAAAATAGTGAAAAATAGTTTTGTAAATAATCTGATCAAAATAGATAAATAAAAAAAATTAGTTTAAAAATAAGTAGATGAGACTTAATTTTTTGGACTTAGAAGCCAACTTATAAAAATAGAAAAATGTGATAAACAAATGGAAACATCCAAATAAACTTAAATTGTCAAACTATTTAGTAACCTCACTAAATTAATAATTATTATCTAATTATTTCTATTAATAATACGTAACTAAAATGTTAATGCCAAAGTAATTAAATTTGTTGTTACTTATTTATTCCACATGTATGATTCACGTAAAATTTCTACCCGTGCATTGTATGGGTTACAACCTCCCCTACTTCCCGTGGGGAAGCAGGTGCAGATCTTAGCCTTACTTAAAGTAAAACTGTACAAAAAAAAATTAAAATTAAAAATTGGAAGTGTGTTTATAACTTTTAGGTTTATCATTTTTGTATTTAAAATTTTTCTTTACATTGTTTATTTTAAACAAATATGGCTTTGTGCCTTTGTACTAAAAAATATGGCTTTTTTTAATAGTGGCTTTTATGAATCTTGCTTACTCTTTGTTGGACCATACTGAATGATTACGGAGTAATATGTTTTTAAAAAATACTCTCTTTAATGGTGTAAATCAGTATATGGGATTTACTATTTAGACAAGTTCTAAGGATGTTAAGCTAAGTCTAGAAATAAATATAGTGTGGAGTATTCTAGATCAAGTTTAGAATAATATTTTCAAATTATATAGTGGAGTACCTTTAATATTTTTTAGTACTTTTTGTTAACTCATAATAAATTTATGTTATTTTCAAATTATATATTACGTACAATACACAATTTATAATAAACTTTAAATTTGACATTTTAGATAAATTATTGACCGTGCAATGGATGAGACGAACAGTGTTCCTGTCCAAAATTATTGGGCCGGGTCACTAAAAATGGGCTGGGTGGTATTGCGTTACTTTTTTGGTTTTGAGGCGAATGATGAAACTTACTTTTTAAGTCTGCATGTGCACGATAATCCAACTTCTTTTTAAGTTTAAATTTACTGAGTCATTCAAAGTTAAAGCTTCAGATTGAACAAGTCTTTAGGGTACTTGGCCATTAATTGCATGGATTTACAATATACTTTGGAAACCGTGCAGTGATGGATGTATTTCACACTAAACCACATAGAAATTAGGCTTTTTTGAAAATTTTTATTGATGAAAATGCCATATAGATGATGTAAACAAGTAAGGCCAGTCAATATCTTCAAATTAATGTTTCTGATTCATTAAAAATGCTTTAAAACATGAAAAGTAAAAATATCTTAGTGTTATAAGATTGGGGGAAGATGAAACACCCATAACTTATTCGAAGATATCCAGATGGAAAAATAATTAGGATTACCTTAATGATTGACACAAACATATGCATCTCTAAGTGTGTGTGTACACACACCACATAACGAATGTTAGATTTTTTAAGTAAAACATAATATCTTTTATGTTTGCATGCCTTACAAGAAATAATGGAGAACATATTTATTTTTATGGTTAATTTTTTAAGTAAAACATCATATCTTCTATATTTGTATGCCCATAATGATTATAACGAATGTTAGATTTTTGTTATGAAATTCTAAATTTAGAAGGATAAATGTTAGTAGTGTATCATTCTCTACGAATGTAGTTATAAAAGAGTGTTCCAAAACTTTTAACACTTCATATCGACTTTGGTCATTACTATAGAATTCCTTTTTTGGGAAATTTTATTAAATTATGCAATCTTTCCAGTTTTGTAACATTTTTCATTATTTCAAACATTGACTAATTATACGTAAATTAACAGTCCGTGCATCGCACGGGTACGAGTCTAGCATATATAAAAGCAGATGGAGAAATCCCTTCCAATTTCAGTCCTGAATTTTCCCGCCATTTTTGCTCATCCAATGGCTGAAAATAGTTTGTTACACATGGCAGCAGCTCATGAAATCTCTATTTATAAACATATACAATCAGTTCTGGACAAAAGAAAAGTATTCCCACATCAAGAATTTCAGTACATGGTATCTCCAAAGAGTCAGTCCAAGCCAATTAGTTCACTAATGTAATGACAAATGAACATACAGTGCAATGGACGTCCGGCCAGATTGAAACTGGGAGATAATGCCCTCTTCCACACAAAGCCTCCTCCACAGAATAACATTTCAGTATTATTTTTTAAATCTTCCTTGAATCTTCCACGCCATCCCCATAAAATGGCCCAGATTTGGACACCAAAAAAACCACATTGAAATACAATTTATACAAAAAGTCAAAAACTATAAATTGTAAAATTGTTTATTTTGAAGCTCGGAATAGTTTCCCATTGCTACAGAAAACGATAAGATCGCCATGGCTGCAACCGTGGTGACAAATTTACGGCTTGCCTCGCCAAGATACGAATCGTTTAATCAAATAAAGTTGATTGCAGCCATAACTTTATAATACTCCCTATGTCCCAGTGTAGTGTATTTGTCTGAGTCAAATTGGACAAACTTTGAGCTTCAATTAAATAAAAAACATAATGTATTTTAACATAAAGATAACTTTATTGGATTTATCGTGTTGAGAACTTTCAAAATTGTATTTCATTATTCTAATATGCAATATAAATTAAGAGTAATTGGAGTTCAAAATTTGTCCATTTTGACTCAAAAAAGTCAAACTGGACAAATACACTGGAACGGAGGTAGTATAAAGTTAGCATCTCAATATAATAAATCCTAGCAAAGTACTTCACATATGTATTCAAATGAACTGCCACTGCCCATTATCAGAACATCACACCATAATGAAATTGGCACAAATTGGTCTCCTAAAAATGTTTAGGGTAATGTTTACAAATAGCTGGAAAAATGTTTAAAGTAAACCCCCTAAAAATGTTTATACTAATGTTTACAAATAGCTGGAAAAGATGTTTAAACCCCCTGCCATTTCAGTGTATACAAACACCATAACTTATAAATAAGTTTATAATATGTTTTCAAAAAGTGGAAACTTTCTTTAGGCTCGGAAATTTTTTTCCTTTGCTACACAAAGAGATGTGATTGCCATGGCTGCAACCACGGAGTCAAATCTCCGGGTTGCCTCGCCAAGATACGAATCATTTCATCAAATCTTTGGGATCAACATTGAAAAAATACACCGCAATTTCGTCACAGCCTCTTTAATCTCACTGAATCAGCTAATTAGAGCTATTTGTATTTTCCAGAAATCTGCCCATCTCTACATGGGCTATAAAGAGGCAAAGTATTTAAAATATTTATATACTATCACAACAAAAAAGATATTAAAACACCATGGCTGCTTCTCGATGCCTACGAAGCCTCGCCAAGATACGCCTTATTCCCTTAATTTTAATAAGCAGAATTTGACAAAACATATACAAAAGATCATCAGAGCCTCTTATTTATTAAAACCATTCTAGCCTCAGCGATAGAAATATACCGTGACTGCAAAGATTGAATGAAACCACTTAATTACATAACCTACCAGTAGCATGGTCCCTCTAATACATTACAAATATTCATTACAAGTGATACATACCAAAACAGTCAGATCCTACCTGACCACCAGACATATATTATAACATTCAACTCATAGTACTTAAAAAACATCTCTTCATTGAAATTGGTGACTTTCAATTGTAACCCAATATATTCCTATGGTGTATAAATACCCTTCCCCACTTACACACTACACACCCTTCCCCTATTACACACTACACACCCTTCCACCTTTACTTTATTACCCTAAATTCCTTTGCACCACTGTTTTTTTTACAATTAGCCTTATAATTTCCAAAAAATGCCTGCCCTTTGGACAAGGTTGATGGAACTAAAACCATCTACTTTTCGTGCCAATCTAAAATTAAGATTAATTCGTTCCTATGATCTCATGTTGGAGAAATTTATGCTCGGGAGTGTATTTTCCACGACAATGAGGTATTTTTCATTAGACTTTTGTTTATTAGCCGCTTTTCCAAAAAAATTAATTTTATGGAAAAAATTTCAGGAGAACCACATCCTTGCAATCTATCAAAAGGAGGAAATACCAGTGTTTGGAGCAACACTAAAAGAAGGGAAGTTATATCGAATAAGTAATCCTGCAGTTCTATCAAATAACAAGCCTAACATTGTTTCAAATAAATTTAAGCTTTCACAAATCAGTGGTTTAATATATCAATCGAGAGATCTAAGGCATAGAATAAGAAGGGATTTTTTTTAAAAAAATCTGCTACTCAGTGGGTTTAAAAATAGAACAATTAAAATCCTTTGATCTACCATCACATATAGGTATACAATGAGTTATCAAGAATATCGAATTGAAGGATCTAATAAGCGTCATATTTTAAAACCAAAGCAAGAACACAATGAGAAAGTAAAGAAGATGCACCATAAAACATGCATCTGGATGTTCAACGGTGCGTGGAGTTAAGGTCCAGGAAAACGAAGACGACGGCGGCAGCGAGGACTGGAGAAGTGATTGGATTTATTGAAATAATGAAATGGAAGAGGAACGGATGGGAGATGTAATTGAGATGAGGAGGAGCGGCGGGCAATCGGTAAATGAGATGAGACAGACCCAGGTGGATGTTTTGGAATGGGATGTACTACCTCCGTCCCAGAGTATTTGTAACTTTCATTTTTACATATCATCCAATACACTTCTTTAATTCATTTTATCTTATAATTTGTACATTAAAAAATTATAGAAATTATATATTAATAATCTATATGTTAAGACAAATCAAACAAGACTACATATGACTATATTTAGGACACATTGAGAGAATTTGAGGAGTCAAATTACTTAGATGAATAGTTTCAAAAGTCGAAACTGGACGAATACTTCGGGACGGAGGGAGTGTACATAATTAGAGCATCAGCAATGGCAAGGTAAAAATGAAATGTCACACGGTGATATGGACTATTTTAACCAATAAAAAATAACTCAGTCACCGACTCACCGTATGGCAAATGAGTGGAGTGTCGTAACATACAGTGGCAAGTCATTGTTTTTATCTATTTTTGTACTTTTTAATAATTTTAATTATCAAAAATTATTTTACACATTTATTTTATTATTAAAATATGTCTACTTCTTTTAAAAAATATTTTTTTCAAAAATTAAAAATATTAAAAAAATGAGGGAGTCATGCCTTGCACATGGAATGAAATGTGAGACGGAATGGCCATGGAATGCCATGATTTGAGTGACATTTGCCGACATGGCCAGGCAAGGCAAGGCATTGTCTTGCCATTGTGAATGCTCTTAATGCTAGGGATTGCCCTGTACTGATATTTCTTATTTTATACGGAGTACTACGTATCAAGTTTTTTCAATTAATTTTATTCACATATTGGTATAGAAATAAAAAATAAAATTTACATATCAAAAAATTACATGAAAAGTTTTTCAAAATAAGAGGTGTTAAGAATATTTTATTTTATCTAATAACCAATGAAAACGTAAAAATAAACAAAAGTTCCTGTGACTTCTGAAAAAGTAAGTGTGACAAACATTTTGGGACAGAGGGAGTAATTGTTATTGGTTTTGTTCACTTTTTTTTACTACAGTTTGTATAATTTTTCAGTTTTTGCTTTTTGTTCAATTTTTTGCCTTTTGATTTTGCTTTGTTAAAAAAAATTCACCGTAAGTTTTATGCTCCATAGTTATTTTGATTAATTTTTTCTTTGTGTTCACTTTTTGGTTTTTATCTTTCTTTTAGCTAAATTTTTTTCAAAGTAAATTTTTTTGTTTCACGTTATTATTATTTGAATTTTGAGCAATCTAAACACAATCTTTTAATATCCTACCAATAAAATATAATAAAATCTATCCAAATCAACATAGAATTAAAATAATTTGTGGATTTTACATTATCCATAAATGATACTCCCTCCGTCCTATATCTTTCTTCCCGGTTCGCAAAACGAAGAAAAATCTCAAGTTTTTTCAATCTATTTTATTTAAATATTGGTATAGAAATAAAAAATAAAACATACATATTTAAAAACTACATCAAAAGTTCAACAAAACAAGTGGTGACAAGAATATTTTATTTTATCATATAGACCATGAAAAAACACAAATAAATATAAATTCCCGTGAAGTTGGAAAAGTGCTCTGAGAGGAAAGTTTTAGGACAGAGAGAGTAAATAATCTAATATGATCTTTTAGAATCTAGATAGAATATACCCCACATAATGAACAATTGAAATGCACTTATTAAATTTAAAAATTTTTAGTCATGCAATTGTCTTCCTTAATGTCGATATCAATTTTTAATGCAAGTCTTTCTCTTTTTTTCCAAAACTACGGTTTGGCTCTTATCATCAGCTAGGATTTGACTATTCTCATCGATGACAATTTATATTTTCCATATTCATCCCGAATTATGTAGTTACTATATTCCCGTGCATCCGTGCATCGCACGGGTGATACACTAGTATATATATATATATATATATATATATATATATATATATATATATATATATATATGATATTTTATTTAATTTTAGATCAAAGATTTAAAATGATTGATTGTAAAAAGTAAAAATTGAACAAATATTCGAAGTTTGAAAACTAAAACATTTTGCATCCCCTTCTCCTAAGCAGCGGTACATTTTGACAACTTCCTCCTCAAAATTTAGAATTCCTCTTTACTTTTGTTTTAAAAATCACTTCAAATTTTATATTCCCTCCTTAAATTTTCAGAATCCCTCCTTTTTATTTTTTTTTCTCTTTTCCTATCTAAGAACTAGACTCGAACCCGTGCGTTGCACGGCCAAATTAAAAACTAAATAATGAGTGAAAGTATTGTTGTTGGAATTCGATATGATTAAATTAACATAAGACTATAGAATGAAATATTTCAGTGCAGGAAATATGAATGATATAGATTGTGAAACTATTACATTATAAGTTTTGGAAAACTTCTTTGTAAACTACATTGGTGGTTTGGTTCATCTTATTTGGGTCTTCATTGCATATCAAGATCTTTAAACCTCTGCGATTTGTGACACGTGAAAGCGCTACATAAAGCTGGCCATGGCTGAAAACAGACTTCTTCAATAAAAGCCCAACATGCGACAATGATTGCCCTTGACTTTTATTAATTGTCATTGCATATGAAATCATTACTAGGAATTGTTTCCTTTGAAACTTAAAAGGAATCCTGGTATCTGACGGTGTAAGCAACAACCGTGGGATAACAACTTCTTGTCCAATATTTTTCCCCGTAAGCACCGTAGCTTGAATAAGATGATTGCCCAGTCTAGTAACAATCAACCTGGTCCCATTGCACAAACCTGAAGATTGATCAATATTCCTTAGCAACATGATTGGTGTTCCAATCTTTAACTTCAACTCATGGTTTGGCACACCAGAAGCTCGTATGTTATTCAAAAACTCAGGAGAATGCATGTCCGTCAAGAAGTCTACGTTTGAATCAGACTTACACACTGCATCAGAACTCAAGTAAGTTTTTGCTTCTCCGACATTGTTTAAGGACGTCATATATTCATTTATTTCATCCACGACTTCTAGCGTTGGTGCCAAGATTGCTCGACTTTGCAGATATGTTGGATCATTTGCAATATTGTTGAAGTCTGGATAAGTTGCTTTTACTATAGATGCAATTGGATCATCCATAGTTTTTAACAACATATCCTCTGGGATAATAACCTCGGCAACTCCATCGTTTTCTCCCCCGGCAAAACCATCACCGATACTCGCAATCCACTTAGCAAATTCTCTCATGCTGTCAAAGTTGCCATCGCGAGACATGTGTTGTAAGCGCATGTTAGTTGTCAAGCGTAAGACCGTGCAATATTTCCACAAATACGAAGAATTGATCGTAGCATTGACGATGTCTTGCCTTCTTCCTTTAGGTATGACGGGTAGAATTTGTCGAAAATCTCCCCCAAACACAATTGTCTTTCCTCCAAATGGAAGGGTCGAATTTGTTGGACAAACTACACTCATTAAATCACGCAGAGTTTGGTCCACGGCTTCAAAACAGTATTTATGGGTCATTGGAGGTTCGTCCCAAATTATAAGCTTGCTCATAACCAATAAGTCTGCAAGAGGTGTTTTTTGTTTAATGTTACATGTGGAATTTTCATGGGGATTAATAGGAATTCCAAAGCGCGAGTGAGCAGTTCTTCCCCCGGGTAACAATAAAGAGGCAATACCACTCGAAGCAACATTTAGCACAATATCTCCTCTTGAACGTATGCAAGCAGACAATGTTTTCTAGACGAAAGTCTTGCCTGTACCACCATAGCCATAAACGAAAAAAATCTTCCCTTAAGCCGAATCGACGGATTCCATTATTGTTTCATAAGCGTGTCGCTATTCTTCATTCAACTGTCCCATCATCCTATGATGTTCATCTTTCAATGCATTCCGATCGTATTGTAATTCGTCAAGAATTAATCTGTTGCGAGTCGTTGAAGCTGCGTCTAGATTGGGGAAAGGCATGTCAACAATATCTCAAAGACTCCTAGCTCGCATCCTAAGTAACATCTCTATCTCGATCAAGACATAATTTTTTATTTGATCTTCGGTTAAGACTAAACCTGTGGATCAGATGAGTACAGTTAATCAAAGAGAGTGTGTTTTAAAATACTAATAATATTAGTTGCATAATACCTTGATGACCAAGAAGACATCTTTGACAATGTAGAATATCATCAGCCATGAATTCCCATCATTGTTCCGAGACATGTTTTGGCCTAGACATTGATTCGTTTGTTAATAGTGTTACAAATAAGAATCTTAGCTGTTTGGCTGAACTCCAAGAACTTGCTTCCTTAAAAGCATCAATGTACTCTCTGTCATCGTCTAGTAAACCCATAGCATAGCATGCATCACGATAGGTGTTGTGAATTACACCATCGACAGTTCTCAAATCTTCGTAGGATGTCGGACCTCGAACTATGTTTAGGAGAATTCTCATATAATAAGACTCACCAGAGCCTGGTGGGACGTATACAACACGTCCGATAGCAAAGCCTCTTAGTCGAGGTACATACTCTCTTTTAGCTTGCTTCCAAACAAATTTTTGCGGGAACTCGGCATTTGTTAGCGTCTTTGCAAGAGGATATTTGTCATTTGCTTTCATCTAAGCAAGAAATTTACTCTCTTTTATGCTCTCTCAAGTGTAAACATCACTTGCATCATCATCATCTTCAAAGAAAATCCAATGTTCACCAGGAAGGTGAAAGCTTAAGCGTTCAACATTTGGACATTTATATTGTATTGGAAATCCAAATATTCGCCAAGTTGCCTCGCAAGGAGAGATATATCTGCAGTCGTAATACATTTTAACTTCATTTGGAGTTTCTGTCTGCTCTTTCTCTCCGCTTTGTGTGCTAGCATAAAATCCTGCAGTGACGCGGTCATGGCCTTTGTTGATGTACTTGAATAAATATTTGATGGACCGCGATTGATTACACCATTCAACATTTAGGTGAGCACCATACTTCATCAACAGATATCTATTGTGCGGGACTACGAACCTATTATCCAACTCAACATTGTTCTTCATTATGGTTCGTCCATTATTCCTTCGTCGATATTTTGGATAGCCATCCTCGTCAATATTCGTTTCCTCGTTGAATTCCTTTGGAAAATATTTATAGCACTTTCCATCCTTCATGCAGGGTGACTTTGGTGAATTTGAGCCACACG